GGCCGGACATCGACCCTGCAGTGGTGCCCCATGTGGACCCCTGAGGCCTGAGCCCCCAGCCCCCCAGCACTCACCAGTCGGGCAGGTGACAGGCACTCCTCTACCAGCTGCTCCCTGTGGCTGCCTGGGTCCTTGCTCCGTGGGCGGGGGTTGTGCAGGCCTTGCCAGCTCAGCTCCCGCACTTGGACAGTGGCTGTGCTTGGCCGAGGCCCGTGGGCTTTGTCCCAGGCCTGGTCCATTCACACCCAACCTGCTGGGATAGGCAGAGGGCAAAACTACTAAGCCTTTGCACTTCCTCTGATCTGCAGCTGGGACCCCGCACAGCAAGCCTTTGGGGCTCATCCCGCCTGACTCTGATAGGGCTCTCACTCACTTAGTCTCAGCCTGCCTGGGGGCTCATGATGGCCTCGCCATTGCCCACTCAGCCTTAGCTCACACCCCACTGGGGTCTGAGCAGGTCACCTCCTTTGTGTTTCTGCTCATTTCCCAAGGTCCACAACAAGGGTGCTGGTTCCAAGCTTCCTTATCTGAGGTCCTGCCTAGGCTCTGTGCCTGAGGGGGGCCAGTTGGCCCCAGATCATATTTGCTCCGTCAGCTGTGACCACCAGCAAGCCATTGGCTCAGGCCCAGTGCTGTGCCTCTCCACCAATGATCTCCAAGCCTGGGGGCCCAGGACCAGGCTCTCAAGCATTCCCCCCACCCACCCCTATGCCCACTGAGCCCCCTCACCTGGAGGCAGCTGCCTTTTCCCACCATGGGTCAAACATCCAGATAAGGGGGCAGCATGGGTCTTCAGGTGGCACCTGTAGGAGAGAGTTGGGGTGGCATCCCAGCCAGGTCCCTGTGCCAGGGGACTTGGGACAGGCCAGGCTGAGGTTATAGGGCCCATAAGTGAGCAGCTGTGGAGAAGGTCGGGGCTGTCAGTGTGGGCACTGGCCCTCAGGTCAGATAGGGGACCTGGACTGGCTGATGAGAAAGACAGTCAGATGGTGACTGACTCCATTCTCTTTCCAAAAGGGGTCCTGGGTCTGCCACTCTGGACTGTCTCTCATGGGCTGGCCTCCTTGGCACCCTGTCCCTCCTGAGCCCCCTCACCCTCAGGCTCCAAGGGAGGTTGTCCAGTGTGTCCCTGGACACCTGCACGAGGCTCACCTGGCATTGCTCCTTTTTTTTTTTAAGATTTTATTTATTCATTTGAGACACAGAGATACAGAGAGAGTGAGAGAGAGAGAGAGCATGAGCAGGGGGTGAGGCAGAGGGAGAGGGAGAAGCAGGCTTCCTGCTGAGCCAGGAGCCTGATGTGGGGCTTGATCCCAGGACCCCGGGATCAGGACCTGAGCCGAAGGCAGACGCTTAACCATCCGAGCCACACAGGCGCCACTGGCATTGCTCCTTAAAGATGCAGATGCCTGGCCTGACCCCTGACCCTGGAATCATCTCTAGGGTTAGAGCCAGAAGTCTGCCTGGAATGTTCTGGGCACTTCCCTGCAACGTGGGCTGAGGCCTCGCTGACTGCTGCACCTGCGTTGCCTCCTGCCCTTCCTGGATTTACTTTCCTGATCAGTCTGACTCCTTCTGTTTTACAACTCATTCTTTTGAGTGAGCACTTCACCCCAAGACAATGTGGGCTCTGTGCAGGCAGGATGCTTGCCTGCTGTGTCCATAACGCACAGAGAGGGGCTCTAAAGTATTTTCCGGAGGAATCAGTGAGTGTGGGGGGTGCACATTCTAGCACTGCTCTTATCTCTCAAACCCCTGGACACATTCAAGCTGCATCCTCTCCATCATGCCTAGGGCTGGGAGAGGGGCCATCTGGGCTTTGACAGAGGCAGTGGAAGCAGCTGCTGAGCCCTGGGACAAGCTGCCCAGGGCTCTGTGTGCCTCAGTGGCCTCATCTGGAAAGAGCTCTGTACACTGAGGATCTAAGGAGGTTAAAGCCATGCAGGTGAGCCCCAACATATAGACTCACAGGGTTTCCAGCCAGGATTTCTCTCCAAAAGTTCCCTCTGCTGTCTGCCTTCCTCCAGCTGGTTTAAAGCCCCAAGCCTGGCAGGAGGACCCCACCACCGTGCCTCCTGGGAAATGCTGCTCACCCTCATCCCAGGCTCGTCAGTCCTGGAGTATGGGGCAGTCAGGCTGCAGCCCCAGGATGCCTTTGGGCAGCACTAAGGGCCAAGCCTCCTCCCTTTCTTTCTGCGCCTAATGGCAGCTGACGACCTCCTACCCCTGAGTAGGCCCAGCACACTGGTCCCGTCTAGCGCAAAGGTCTCAGGGTCCAAGGAGCAGGGCCTGGGTTGGTGGCTGCAGCTGTAAGCACTGTCCCCTCGCGTTCATGCACGGGCTGGGACTGTCTGTTCATGGTTCGGGCCCACCCTGCCCTGCCACTCTGGGAGCCCCACAAACCTCCCAAGTTGGAAACCTGTGGGCCTCTCTGTCCCCACAGCCCAGGCTAATGCCAGCCCCTGGCCTGGCTCATCAGCTCTCTGAGTCCCCTCCTCAGTCCCCACTATGGAAACTGCCAGATCCGAGGCTGGGTCCCTGCCTCCCTCTCCCCCGCAGGGGCAGGGCCTGGGAGTGTCCATCAGCCAGGCTAAGGCTAGGAGGGCTGAGGACTGAGTGCAGTCCTATCCCGTGACTGGGAACCCCTCGGAGCACGGCTAGGGGTTGTGGGCAGCGCCCCCGGAGGACCAGATTGGACATCTAGGGGTACCACTAAGTCTCCCACTGGCTTTGCTGCTTCATCCTAGGACCCGTCCTCGGCCTCAGTTTCCCGCCAGGAACGGGGGAGATACAGCGAGGCTTGCGGCCCCAGGCCCAAAAGCGTGCTTGGGTCTCACCTGAGGGGTCGGTCTCGGTGCCACGGCCCTGGGCGCCCTCCACTGCCGGGCGCTCACTCTGACTCGGGGTCGTTCTTCCGGTGGCGGGGTTGCGGGGCCTGGGCACCATGGCAACGGGGCATCATTTGAATATTCAAATATTCATGAGGCCGCGGGAATCTCCGTGCCTCCGCGGTCGAGCCACGCCCCTTAGCAACGGTTGCTAGGGCCGGCCGGCGGGGGCGGGGCAGCTGCCAACCCGGTTTGGGATCTGGAGGGTAGGGCCCCACGCGGGGGGCGCCCTGTGGGCTGGGAGGGAACCAGGGGCGGAGGTGAGACGCCATCAAGCCGCGGGGGTGGGGGGGCCGGACAGTCTGGCCAGTTGTCAGCCCCTGAAAAGGCGGTGTCTGGTGGAGACTAGCGCCCACCTTTCCCAGCTGGGAGGATTGTCCCTGAGGCCCTGGCCTTGAGGGATGTACCCCCGCCTCCAAGTGTGGCCGATGCCAAAATAAAAGGAAGCGCTGTGATAAAGGACCCCCTGAAGACGAGGGAAATCCAGACCTGGACACCCGGAGGGGAGTTTGGAGTGTCCACACTCGCGAGGGATGCCACCACCCGCTTTCATTTATGTGCCTTTACTTCGCGTCTATGCGCGTCAGGCGCAAGCCCGGCTCTGTTCTAGCCACCGCGCAGTGCGCAGGACCGCCAACCCGACACAGCCACCGCACGTGGGGTCGGTGATGTGGTGGGGGCGGGGGCGGCCCCCGAAGGGGGGTGGTCAGCCAAGATCACGGCCTGCAGGGGGTGAGCTCTAAGAGAGCAGCACCGAGCCGGCACGGGAGGGGATAGGGGATGGAAGGGGGTACCGTCTGAGCAAAGCAAGGTTGGGCTTTCTGTGTAATGCACCATTCTGTCTTTGTAAATAAGAAGGGTGTGTTTATGCACTACTTTGAAATTTTAAAAAATGTTAAAACCATGTCTTTTTGAAAGTGCTTTTGTGCTTGGGATGGGGGGAGAGTTCAGTATACCCCCTTGAGCAACTTTTGGGTGGGATTTGCTGGGTACCATTTGTTAAATTGGGCCACACGGTAAGCTTCTGCAGGGTTGGAACCGCTGGGTTGCGGGCAGCTGGGTGGGCCGGACTGCAGGGCCTGCCCAAGTTGGGCGAGGCTGGTGGTGAGGGGGTGCGGGAGAAGGCCCGTCCTCGGAGCCCCGGGCCCAGCTGCGCGCTGGAGAGAAGCAAGACCCCCTATGCAGGATAAAATGATTGTCTGTCTCGCTGCTCCGTGGGCTCAAACGCGACCCCTCCCCCCCGCTCGCCCGCCCAGCCGAGACGCCCCTGCATCGTCTGGCCCTGGGCGCACCGGCTGTGCCGCGACCAAGGGCTACGCCGAGGTGCCAGGTGTCCTGGGAGTGGGGGGGCGGGGGGCAGGCGCCCGTTCCGGAGCCACCTGACGGGAAGAATGGTGTAGGGCAGTCAAACCTCCGGCCACTGGGGGTCCCAGAGGCTTCCGGCGCGGCCCGGGCCTGCTCTGGGCGCCTGGCCCTCGTCCCGGGGGGCCTCTCCGTTTTGCTCCAGGCTCCCCCCCACCCAGGCCGGGGGGTGTCCGCGGTGCTGACCCTCCACCCTCGCTGAGGCTCGTCCCCCGGACTGGCCCTTCCGCTCCGGGGTCCCCTCGGTGGGCTGCGCGGCGCGGCGCGGCGAAGCCCTCCCGGGCAGGGCAGGGGCTTGAGCCGGACCGCAGCGACCCCGCCCCAGTCTACAACAGCCCGCGGTCCCGCTTTCCTAAGGGGCCTCTATTCCCCCGGGAGAGTCCAGAACCTTTCCGGAGAAGCCGTCACCCCCGAACCCGCGACCCCCGCGCCCTCGCTGTCCTCCCGCCCGGCAGAGCCCAACCCCCCTAGGCCGCGGCCCACGAGGGCCTCCAGGGCCGGCACCGCCCTCCGCGCCGTTTCCCGGAAGCCCCGCCCGGCCGCGGCCCTTGACGGGCGGGCGGGTCGGCCAACCGGAGCAGGGCGGGACGGGGCGGGACGGCTCCGGGGCGGGGCCCGGCGCCCGCGGCCAATGGCAAACCGCGCCAGGCTGACGGACGGGCGCGGGGCGGGGCGTGCGCCCGTCCCCCGACCCCCCTGTCCCTGAGTGTCCGCCGCCCGCGCCCCGCCGCCCGCAGCTGGAGCCGCACCCTCCGCGGACGGAGCCCATGCGCTGGGCGAGCCGCGCACCCCGGCCCCGGCCCCTTTCCCCGCCCCCGCCCCGGCCCCGGCCTCGAGGGCAGTCGCGCCAGTGAGCGGTGAGTGCGGCGGGGGCGGGCGGGGGGCGGGCGGCGGCCCCGACCCGGGCTGCGGCTCGGGGCGTTGGAGGCGCGGCGGCGGCGGCGGGGCGCGCGGGGGCGCAGGTGAGCCGCGGGCGGGCGGGCAGGGTGCTGCGGCCGGGACTGCGGGCGGCGGCGGGGGCGCCGTGCCTCCGCGTCCCTGGCCCTGCCCTCCGTGGGGCCCCAGCAGTGCTCTTGGGCAGCGTGCGGGGGGCCCCCCCGAGCCGAGGTCCGCTGCGGCCCCCCTTTAGTCGCAAAGCGCGCTCCCAAGGGCTGGGGCACCAGGCGGCCATCACGATACACAGCAGGCGAGTCAGGGTTAGGAAATCACTGTCCACTGTCTGGGGACAAGAGCAAGGGCACCCCCTCGTAAATCCTCACAGATTGGGACAGCCCGGCTGGAGGCCTTGGCCCAGGCCTTGATTCTTTCTTACCTGTACCCCCGCTCCGCACCTCCGTTGGGTCTGTTCTTCTGTCTCCTTACCAGGAACCGCCGCCCCCCCCCCCCCTGCACCCGGCTGCCTCCTCTGCCTCCTTTTCTCCAAAGCTCATACGGTAACAGGATACCGTGGGTTTCCCTTATTTTAACGTGTGCCCGTCTTTTCTTTGGAGAAGGGGCCAGGGGTTTCTTTCTCTGCCTGTCACCCTGAGCCTGGAACAGTGGCTGGCATGCAGTAGGCGCTCAGTAAATGCTTGTGCAAAGCAGCAACATGCTCGGTGGGGCCGGAGCGGGTTGTAGGATGGCACTGGCCTGCCTGGGCATGCTGCTGTGTGCTCCACTGTGGCAAGACCTGTTCTTGCAGGGAGGGGACTGGTAACCTCAGCCTGCAGGGCCTCCAGTTCAGGCTTTCTGCCTACCCAGCAACTTCTAATTTGGGTGCGTGGTTGGGAGATGCTCTCAGCTGTCAGCTCTGCCTTTGGGGGGCCAGCTCCCTGCTCTCTCACAGCCATAAGTGCAGCTGGAGGTGGGGGCCATCTCCCACCCCTGGGCTGGAGGTGCCACAGGTGGGCGGCTGGGCCACCATTCTGGCGGCTTCCCCTGTTCCCTGGTTGTCTGGGGTCAGAGGGTGGGGCGGGCCAGCCCAGGGAGCTCAACAGGCCTGCTCTGCGTGGCTGGGCCATGGCTGAGTGCAGCTCCCTCAGCAGGTGGGACAGGAGACCGCCACAGTGCCCTGTGCTGCATCCCTTGAGGAGCGATGACAGAATATAAGCTTGTGGTGGTGGGTGCTGGAGGTGTGGGGAAGAGTGCCCTGACCATCCAGCTCATCCAGAACCACTTTGTGGATGAGTATGACCCCACCATCGAGGTGAGTGTTGCTGCTCCTGTCCCCAGCCCTGAATCCTGATGTGGGCTTGTCTTCTGTGTGCTCCATAGGAGGGCATCCCCTCCTTGTGGGACCTGGGGTTGGGGCAGGAAAGGTGCCCAGGAGGGGCTGGTGGTTGGATCGCCCCATCCTAGGAGAGGGGGGGGGCCCTGAAGCACTGTCTTCCTGCAGGACTCCTATCGGAAGCAAGTGGTTATCGATGGTGAGACGTGCCTGCTGGACATTTTGGACACGGCGGGCCAGGAAGAATATAGCGCCATGCGGGACCAGTACATGCGCACCGGAGAAGGCTTCCTGTGTGTGTTTGCCATCAACAACACCAAGTCCTTCGAGGACATCCACCAGTACCGGTGAGTTGCTGGCCGGCCCTCGGGGTCCTCCCTGTCCCTGTTTCTCCTTGTGTCTCTCTGCCTGGGTCCTGGATGCAGCCGTGCCTGCAGCTCAGCGACTGGCTCCCACCTTCTTCCTTGCAGGGAGCAGATCAAGCGAGTGAAGGACTCCGATGATGTGCCCATGGTGCTGGTGGGGAACAAGTGTGACCTGGCTGCCCGCACTGTGGAGTCCCGGCAGGCGCAGGACCTTGCCCGCAGCTATGGCATCCCCTACATTGAGACGTCGGCCAAGACGCGCCAGGTGAGCCGGCTCCCCACCCCACAGCTAGCCAGGGACCCGCCCCGCCCCACCCCTGCCAGGGAGCAGTGCTCATTGCCCCCTCTCCCCCCACACAGGGCAGCCGCTCTGGCTCTGGCTCCAGCTCCGGGACCCTCTGGGACCCTCCGGGACCTCCGTGACCCAGCGGCCCCTAGCGCTGTAAGTGTCCCCGGACGGCAGGGCAGCGAGGGAGGCCGGGGCCCAGGGTCTGGGCTGACACAGCTCCAGGGAGAGGCGGAGGTCCCTGGAGAGAGCTGCCCTGAGCCAGGCCGGAGCGGTGACCCTGGGGCCCTGGCCCCTCGGCCCCCAGAGAGCCCCGTGGGCCCTTGTTGGCCCTGCCCCCTTCATGGGCTGGTGGGGACAAGGTTGCTAGGTCAGACAGGAGTGGGACACGGGGTGTTCAAGCTGGGAGCCAGACTGAGGGCCCGCCCTGTGGGGGAGCTCCTGAGGAGCGAGCTGCCTGATGGGGGTAGCCCTGGGGCTGTGGGATGAGCAGGGCCCGGCTGCGCACGGGTGGGAGTCGGGGTGGGGAGAGGGAGGGGAAGGGCGGGGATTCTGCATGAGCTGGAGGCCGGGGTCCCTTGGTCCCCCTCCCCTGTCAGGCCCCCAGGCCGAGTCCCACTCTGAGCCAGCCCCTTCTTCCTAGGGCGTGGAGGATGCCTTCTACACGCTGGTGCGAGAGATCCGGCAGCACAAGGTGCGAAAGCTGAGCCCGCCTGACGAGGGTGGCCCCGGCTGCATGAGCTGCAAGTGCCTGCTCTCCTGACGTCCCTTCCAGGCCCCCCCTGACATCCTCGCAGGCCCTCTGTGCCCCAGCAGCACAGGCAGGGGGCGTGGAGGTGCCGGATGCCGGGAGGAGGTGCCGATGGAGGAAGGGGGAGGGGAAGGAAGGAAGGAAGCGCCCCCGGAGCCCGGCCGCCCAGGCTCCCTGGACAGAGTGACCACAGACCTCCCAGGACACTTTGCACAGACTCTGCTGAACTGAGGCCACCGGCACCCTGGCTGTCACTCTCCTCCCAGCCCCGTCCTGGCCCTTTGGCCACAGGCTGAGTTGCAGTAAATTATTGGATGTTCTTGACCTTGGCGTCTGGCACCTGGGACCCTCAGCTTTGTCTGCCTGGAGGCCCCTCTGCAGGGACCCCTGTAGGGGCTGGTGGGGTGACCTGGGCCCGGCCACCCTCTGCTGTCTGGCTGGCTGTCTAGCGCCTCTTGCGCACAGCCCTGGGGCCGCAGGACCAGGCTGGCTTTGCATTTTAACACAACGCTTTATTGAACTTTGAACAGCAAAGGGGCTCACAACCAAGGGTGCGGCCTTCCCTGGGGGAGGGAGACCTGCTCCTTTCGGGGAAGGCTGAAATCACAGGGGGCGCGGGTGCTCGTGTCCCCCACCTTGGAGCCTGTGCTGACTCTGGGGGGCGGCACGTTTCTGGGTTTGGGGCCACCAAGAGGCCGGTGCTGAGGACGGCCGACCTGAGCTGGAGCTGTGGCGTTGGGGCTCCCAGGCAGGGTCCCAGCACGTCTGCACGGCCTCGGCCTCTGCCCATCGCTGCCAGGCGACTGCTAGAGAGCCGGTCTCTGGCGGCACCTGCCTCCTGCTGTGGGGGAGGGGAAGGGGGCCCCACCGGCCTGCACCTGCTGTGCCTTAGCTGGGGTGCCTTGTGGTTCCCAGCGCTGCCCTAGGTCGGAGGCGTGGATCTGTGGGGCATGCCCAGGTCCCAGGGGGCCACATGGAGCTCTGAGAGGGCGCGCCCAGGCTTGGGCCAGAACCCAGGACTGGCCAGGGCCACGGGGGGCTCGGTCCCGTCCATCCTCATTTTGCTCATGGGGGGGCTCGTGTCGTCTCTGCCTCCCCAGGGCCTGGGGCCAGGCCAGTTGAGGTCCCCCCGGCTCAGGGACTTGTGCCTCCTGGAGGGGTTGTCGCTGTCCAGGAAGGCCAGTGTGTTGAGGCAGGGCATGGTGCTGGCTGCCCAGAGCCCCAGGGCCCCCACGCTCAGCATCACGCTCTGCTCCAGAGGCCAGGGAGCATCTAGCAGCCCTGTGGACGCGGAGGTCGGACGGTCCCGGCAGGTGTGGGGCCTTGGGGCCGCTGGCTCAGGCGGCCCTGGCTGTGTCTCGGCTGTGCTGGTCACTCCCCCGAGAGGGGCAGGAGCTGCAGTGGCCACAGGGCAGGAAGGGTGTCCTGGGTCCACAGCTCGCTCTTTCCTGGGCTGGGGGGACCCCGTCCTGGGAGTCCCGGGGGCGTTCCGGGGCCTGGTCTGTGGTGTGGCCACTGGGGTGGCCCAGGCAGGGGCTGAACGGAAAGGGACCCAGTGTTGCGGCTTCAAGCCCACGTCCGGGGCCACCTGCCTGCACCCTCCTGGTGCACTGGGAGGTTGGGGAGGGAATTCCATTGCTGTGGGGCCAGCCGGGACAGCTAGGGGTCCTGGGCTGGGGGCACCACCTCATCCTCCAGGGCCCAGGGCTGGGCCAGGGTGTCCAGCAGAAACTCCCGAAGACCTTCCAGGGGCAGCTTCAGGAGGCGTTGTGGGCAATGGGTGTGTCAGACCCAGAGGGACCCCACCCTGCCACCCAAGGGTGCCTCCCAGGGACAGGTGCTGGGGTCCAGCTGTCCCAGGAGCGCCGCGGGCAGAGCCGTGGCAGGGGGAGGCCCCATGCAGGCTGCTCCTCTGCGCGGTGCCCCGCCGGACTCCTGCCCGCCTCTGTCCTTCACCGAGGCCTGCACGCTCCTCGCTCTTCGGGAAGTGGGCCACTGCCCCCCCGCCCCCGCCTCGGGCACACCTGGGCTCCCTGGGCCTCACTCACTGCTGTGCATCTTGAGGATGGTATACGCCATGGCAGAGAGCACCCGCTCCCCGTCCAGGATGTAGGCATCCCAGAGCTTCAGAGTGAGCAAGAAGGGGGTCTGTGGGGACAACAGGTGTGGGAGGGGCAGCCTCGGTGGGGCCCACTGGCTGCATTGGATGAGGCTCCCCAGCCCCTCCTGTGGGGGCCCCAGACGACCCCGGGGGTAAGGGCGTGGCCAGCACAACCCACAAACCTGGGGGCCACAGATTCTGCCCCACCTTCGGGGGCCACAGGCCCTTAGAGGACTCCAGGCTGGCTGCGAACTGGGGCGAGGGCCTGTCCACTCCCCAGGCTGACCTGGCCTTCCCAGGGGGAGCTGAGGTGGACATGGCCTGTCTGCGGGAACTGCCTCAAGGGGACCTCTTGGGTTCTCCAGGATGGGTCTGGGCTGCGAGCCTCAGCCTTCAGGTCTCCGGGTCGGGACTGGCTGTCCTGGACCGTGAGGCTCAGCTGGGGCTTCCCCGGGGTCCAGGGGCATGGAGCAGGGCAGGGACCGGGTCAGCTTGGGTGGCCTTACCCGGTCGATGAAACACTGGAGGAACCACTTGGAGGTGTAAATGCCAGTGCCCATCTGTTCCCCGTCCTGACGGAAGTGTGGAAGGTGCTCAGGACCCACCCAGCGGCCCAAACCCCTGGGCCAGGGCCCCATGGAGCCAGGTGGACACACTCTGCACGGCCCCGCTCAGCCCCGAGGACGCCCCTGGGCCCGCAGGAGAAGGAACAGCACAGGGCCGCTTTGGCCGGCTTCTGCTCGCCCCCTACCCCAGCCCCGGGCCGTGGGGACAGGGCCTCTGGGGAGCTTCTACTTGCCAGGTGCTTCTTTAGCTTTGGCAGCTCTTGTGCTATAATAAGGTCGTGATGGGCCCGGAACCTTAGCAGTTTGGGGAGCCCTGGAATGAAGAAGCCTGAGAAGGCCCCAGGCCCCCCAACCATCAGGGCTTTCTCCTGCACCAGGTGGGGGGTGAGTCCTGGCAGGGGCCTCCTCTCCCATGCCCTGACTGCAGAGTGTGCCCACAGCCCTCCCGAGCCCTGGCTGGCCCTGCTCTTCCCAGGCAGCAGGACTATGGCCAGGCCTCGGGGGCAGGGGCAGAGGACACTCCTTCTCGCAGAGACCCCACTGGGTGGGGGCCCCGGGCTGAGGACCATGACTGGCTGACCCGGCAACTCTTTGCTGTGGTGGTCACAGCGGGGGCAAGGAGGGCCCCAGCCCCGAGGGGCAGGGAGTGCCGCCCACGGGGAGGGTGACGGGCGTGCAGGGCCATCTCCTGGGTTGGGATCCAGGCTGGGGCCGCGGGAGCGGTAGATGTTGCCACCTGGCTTTGTCTGGCCGTGGGCTGGAAGGGGGCCTGGGGGGCAGGCCGGCCACCAGGCAGGAGGCTGCAGGACCCGCGGGAATGTGAGAATGGTCTGCGAGTGGTGGGGCCAGTGGCCAGGCTACAGGACCCTGAAGGCCCCCCGGGAAGGCAGTGCCCTTTGCCGGCGGGGAGGCGGGCTGGGTGGGGGTCCTGGCCTGTTCTGCTGCTGGAGCTGCCCCGCGGGGAGGCTGTCCTGACCTCCAGGTCCCATCCAGGCGCCCTGCCAGCCCCTACCATGCACGGCGTGTCTCTCCGTGGTCATCAGCTGAGCCAGTGCCCAGAATGCATCCTCCTTGGACAGGAACTCATCAACAGGACCCCCACAATCTGGCTCATGCCCTGGCAGTAGCCCACATCCTGCAAGAGCCAACCCTGATGGAACGTGGCCACCTCAACGTGGTGAAGGTCAGGGTAACGGGAACCTCCCTCTCTGCTCAGGTTCTGATTCCCAGTTTGGTCTCTTCAGGATCGATCACTGAGTTTTAGGACAACAGCGGTGCTCGCTAGACTACCTGGCAGCCCCAGCGCTCCGGGACTCAGGGGCCGTTCCTCAACCCGGTGAGGTCTGCACCCCAGCCCTGGCCTCAGTCCTAGAGTCGAGAGCCCCTCCCTTGTGCCCCTGAGACAACGGGAGCTGGAGTCCTGTGTCCTGGTTGTTCAGGAATCCTCAGGACAAAGGGCACCCGCGGGGCAGCAGGCCTGGTGGCGGGGAGACTCACGGGGTTGTAGATGAAATACGCCGAGCACATGGAACAGGGCTTGCTGCATAGGAAAGGGAGAGCAGGGTGGGTTGCTCCTGTCTGAGCAACCCGCACAGTGAGGCCGGCCAGGTGCAGAACGCAGCCCCACAGACCTGGGTCTTCAGGGCAGCTCGGTGGCTGATGTGTCTATGGGGTCAGGTCTCCACACAATGACCAGCAGCTAGCTCAGACATACCGTGGGATGGAGTTTATTTTCATTCTGCTGTTTGCCGTTTGCCTCCATGAAAACCCCCGCTGTGGGATGGGCAGCTCCTGGGTTTTTGCTGAGCCCCCAGCTCGCCCCTCCAGCCCTGGGGCCGCCGCCCCACCCTGAACGGCCCCTTGGTGGCCAGGCGCTCCCCCTGCACTGCTCACCGCAGCCCCCAAGGCCTCTCCTCCCCGTGGTCTGGCCTGTTCCTGGTGCTGTGAACGCAACCATACGATCTGGCTTCCTTCCCCGAGCCAAGCGCAGCCCAGGTGCTTCCATGGCATCGAGCACGTCCATAGCGCGGTCCTGTGTGTCCCCGATGTATTCCCCGTTTTGGATTGCCAGTGTCTGTTCACCTAAGAGCAGCTTGGGTGCTTCCAGGTTGAGTCATCGTGCATAAAGCACAGAACCTTCACACAGGTTTTAGTTGGATAAAAGATTTCGAACCAGTTGGGTCAATAACTGTGAGCACTTTGGGGCATATGGTGAGGCTCTGTTCAGCTTTATAAGAAGCCACCAGCCTGCCTTCCAGTGTGGCTGCATGATGCTGCACCCCAGCTCCCCTGCCCCCAGCCTTTGTGACAGGTGCGTGTGGCGGGCGCTGGTGTCCCGCGGTGGTACAAAGGCTCAGCTCTG